CAACAACAACGGCAGCAACAGCAACAGCAACAGCAAAAGCAACAGCAACAACGGCAACGACAACAGCAGCAGCAGCAGCAGCAGCAGCAGTACTAGTAAACAAGAAGAAGAAGGACAGCAGCAGCAGCAGCAGCAGCAGCCGCTAGACGTGATGGTTTATTGCATGATGTCCATTGCTAGGACTGGTTCTATAGTGGCTGTAACAACTAAACGCAGACAGACGGACAGACAGACAGATAGATAGATACATTCGTACATACATACCTGCATACGCAGATTCAACAGGATTCAGAGGCTCCACATTACACTGGAAGCCTTCCGCCAAGACACACCCCACACCATGCGCAGAAGTTCTTGGGACGAAGATATGCAGGTGTACCTCAGTACAGCAACCGACCCTCTGAACTCCTCGGCTCCGGGCTGCACTTTCTTTGCCAGGTTGCCCCATTCCCAATAACTTAGCTGCGACGATGATGGGTGGTGCACGTCCTCACCATCATCACCTTAGGGCATCCGCGTTGTTTGGGTAAAGCTTGTCCATGTCCGCTCTGGTCAGAATTCACTCGACTTCAGAGCCCGTGCTTCAATAACAGCGGCTGGCATCTTCAAGGCTTGAAGCGGAACATGAAATTTCGGGCCGGGCTTCTGAGTATGGATGTCATACCGGCCAGCAGGTGCGAGATTCCCTCAGCAGGGCATGGAAGAGCACATGCAGCTGGACTTGACGGACGCAGGCAAGTGGAAAATACTGATCTGTGGAGAGAAGTGACTGAGTTTCTAAGTCTACTGAATCTCAAGTCAATTGTCGAAGCTTAAGTTGGATACGCGTTGTAGTGCGTTGGAACATGTCCAAGGATCTTCCAGGCCGTCGTCGTCCAATAGGTCGTGCTTCTCGCGCTCTCCCTGCGGCGGATACGTGAAAAGACAGGATTTGCTCGTTGATTAGCTATTACTCCCTGGCCATCATGCCGTGAACCTGCATGCTTAGTGATCAGCTTTGTGCGGTTCAGGACGACTGCCGCTGCCAAGCTCAAACAAATCCAACAAGAGACGGGGAGGCCGCAACCCGCGCTGGGACCCAGCAACTGGAGGGCATAATCAGCGCATGACTGACTCGGCTCAAGGAAATCTGACTCTGTAATTGCACTGGCCACCGGTGCCTCGTCACCCTCAGAGCTTTCACCAGCACTGCCTGAGGCTGTTGAGCGGCACCAAGCGAGATCGTCGTCCTGCCGGCTCGCTCTAGGCCACACGACGGCAGATCACTCCGCGCTAGGTTGTCTGGTTGGTGCTGCAGGGTACTTGTTGACTCGTTGCAGATGCACGAGAGTTATCGGAAGAGCCTTTTCAACGATGGCGGCTCCAGTGGGAACATACCTGTCGACAGTTCCCAATGCCCACCGTCACACCACTTTCTGGCCATGCTGCACTCGACTGCTCGAATGCCCCCACTCCGGGAAATGCAGGCGTTTGTTTCACTTTTTGTTGGGGACCCCTGGCATGGCATGGCCCTTAAGCAACGGCAGGAGCACATGGGCTCGGACTTGTCGAGGTTTTCCAGGCCGGGAGGCATCTTCAGGCTCCCCTCTTGAATGTCGAACATCACCTTCTTCCTGTATCAGAGCGATCACAGCATGTGACTGTAGGGAGCCTTCCGGCCAGTCCTTGAAAGCCAGTCTGACACCTTCTCAACTGAAGAATGCGAGCACCTGTCGTGACAGGTGAGGCAGGCCGCAGTAAGGCTAAGGAGATGTTTCTGAGGGTCAGTGCGTCAGCGGCGTCAGTTGCGTCTCCATTGAGCACGGGCAAGCTCTCACCTGACAGTATAATCACCCAGAGATTGAGTATAGA